AAGAACTGCTCCTCAGTTCTGCCTTGGACATCTCTTCCCCTGCCACTATTCAGGAGAAACTCCTCCCAGTCCTTCCAGGGTGTACCAGATGTCACTTCCAGACAAATTATCCTCAACCATTCTTCCTGGGTTATGTCCCCATCCATGCTTTATTCTGTAATTCATTACCATCTTAATTGTATCTATAGCATGCTTACCGAAAAGTCCTAATTACATAGATATACATCTGTAAACTTGGAGATAAACAGTATCTCCCATATTCCCCACTAGACTGCAAGATCCAGGAGAGCAGGAACCATATGTGCTTCATTCATTACTGACTATCCAGAACTGATGCCAGCGTCTGGTGCATAGTAGGTCCTCAGTAAATATTTGCCAAAGTGAATTGTCAGTGTCAAGCCAAATGCCTGGCCCGTCATAGGCTGTCAGTAAACACTTTTTCATTGAGTTTATTTTGTTCCCATAGAATTTAGCAAATTCACATAAGCTGCATAAATTGGTTCCAAGTGCTGAACTCCCTGTCCACAACAGCGTGGTCTCTGCAAAGTTTGCTGAGATGACAAATGACAATTCAGGACAAATGAATAAGGAGGATGCCTAAAGGCCTACACTGACTTTGGAGCATCTTCTCAGGGTGAAAATATCATCGAGGCAAATTTTAACTCTCAGTATCAGACTTCATTCTTCTGGTCCCTTGCTCTCCTGACCTATTTCTTGTTTTGGTGAGAACTTCTTTTGTCTTTGGGGGTAACCACGATGTGTTAATAAAACTGAGCTCCTGCCGTAACCGGTTTGGCTCAGTGGATAGAGCGTCAGCCTGTGGACTGAGGGGTCCCAGGTTGTGGTCGATTCTGGTTGTGGGCACATCCCCAGTAGGGGGTGTGCAGGAGGCAGTTGATCGATGTTTCTCACTCATCGATGTTTCTAGCTCTCTATCCCTCTCCCTTCCTCTCTGTAAAAAAATCAATAAAATATATTTTAAAAAACTGAGCTCCTTTGTTTGGTTTTAAACAAGCAGCTGATAGGTTTTGCTTTGGGTTTTCCAAGGCTCCTGTTTTAAGCAGCTGAAATCACAGTCACTGCGCCGCTTTCATAGTTCACTGGACCCAGCGCCAACAGACCATGTGGGATTTAGATTGACAACACGGTCGTGGGGAAATGTTTTGGCATGAGAATGCATAGCTGTGATTCAGCCATTAAGTCCCATTGTTTAGGTTCAGTGAAAATTAATTTGCAAAAACATCCAGGTCTGTTGTATGTTCTGGTTTATATGTAAATTAGGAGATTGTGTGAAAAGGATGCCAGGGATGAACCCTTTCAAACATTTTCAAACCAGGTGCCCACTAATTAGAGTGATTCTCACTCAATTTTACTTTACATTTACATTTTTTTTTGCTCAACAGTAAGCTGTATCAGTCAAGATAGAAACAGACACAGCATTAGCTGATAAGCTGCAATATCATGTTGCTTTAAAAAATGACAAGGTTTAAAATTTTGATTTATTGGGACAGTCATGGAAACTAAGAGAAAATTAATTCAACACTCATTGTCTAAAGGTGGAAATAGAAGCAGTGCCATAGCATTCTGTAAATGGCACATTCGGTCCCAGAGAAGACGTGGGGTGTTTATGTGGAGGAGAAATAAGTATCAGAACCCTGGGATAACCAGGAGTTCTGCACAAATCCAAAGGGTGTGTTTCTTTTTTTTAAAAAAAAAATTAATTGATTTGAGAGAGAAAGAGAGAAAAAAGAAGGGAGAAAGAAACACTCAGAGAGAGGAAGACATTGATTTATCGTTCCACTCATTTATGCATTTATTGGTTGATTCTTGTATGTGCCCTGACTGAGGACTCGATCCTCTGCCTTGATGGCCTCAAATTCATGTATTCATTTAGATCAGATGATCTCTGAGGTGGCATCTATTTCTGAAAAACTATTAACTTATGGCATATTTAAAACCAGCAATCCAATGGAAAATGAACTTAGATAACTCCTTCAGGAATGGAATAATAAGGACACAGCTGAGCAGGGGCGAGTGTTTCTCAGTTGTTCCTGAATTGGCCGAACAGGTGTTTAGAACGAGAGACACAGGCCTTGCTAGTGGAGTGGGGATATAAAACCTGGAATCTGCTTGTCACAGGGTCATGCCCAATAAAAGCCCAGGCAGATGTTCACATAAAGTTTTTGCGGTTTGTGTTTTCATGGGGGTGCTTTGGGGGTGTGAAGTTTATTAGGGAGGCACAGCACATTGCCATGTAACAGTCTCGCAATCCGTTTATAGGGTTGGGATTATTTTTGCTAATGATTTTCATGGGTGTAGATGAAAGGCAATGTGCACCCAGCTGTAACTTCGTTTATCATGCAGCTGCCTTCCAGGGAAGGCCCCGCAGACATCATAGATGGCCTGCTTGCCAAAGAGAGTATTGTCTCGCAGGCTTTTAAAGATAAAGGGGTTGTGTTAGTTTCCTATTCTGGCTATATCAACTTAGTGGCTTAACACAACACATATTTCTCCTCTTACAACTTAGAGGTGAGACATGAGAAATGTGCCTTAATGGGGTTAAAATCCGTGTCAGCCGGCCAGGATCCTTCTGGAAGCTCTAGGAGGAGAATTAGTTGCTTTGCCCCTTGCAGGTTCTAGAGGCCACCTGCATTCCTTGCCTCGTGTTCCCTTCATCCATCTTCAAACCCAGCATCTTCTGTCCTCCTCTTTACCCTTAAATATTTTCTATCGATTTCCAACCTCCTTCACTGTCCTTAAAAAGAAGACCCTTGTGATGATATTGGACTGACCCAAATAATCCAGAATAATCTACTCATCTCAAGACCCCTAATGTAATCATTTCTGCAAAGTACCTTTTACTACTAAGGTAACCTTCACAGGTTCTGGGGTTAGGAAGTGGGCAACTTTGAAGGGGGACTGTTGTTCAGGTGACCTCAGGGGCTGTAGAGAGCCATGACTTACCTAAAGTCATGACTTATCCAAGGCCTAAGAGACCCATGACTCAGCTAAAGTCACACAGCCCATTTGTGGCAGTGCCATGACTGGATTCATCCCCTGGCATCCTCACATTTGTCATCTTTATAAGCATCCCTGACCATCAGGGATCGAAGCATGCCCTGATGGATGCTTTATTTTCATAATAAACTTGAAATTATTGAGGAATACGTGTATATGTGTAGAATTAAGTCAATGATTTTAACAGAGCAGCTTTGAGAAGACAGACCTTTATTTTCTGGAATAAAATTTTAATGCGGAAATTTTCTTAATTTTTATAAATTTTTCCAGGGTATGGTACCTTCTAAAGATGTTATGTGACTTCTTAAGATGTTAAGTGACTTGCAGTGATAACAGAGCGTAAGCAATGATGAGAAATGAGAATGCCAAGGAAACACGTGTGTGTTCTCTCTGCTCTTCCTTCCACTCCTTGTTCTTTCTCCCTCTGGAACTCTGGCCACTGCTGCCATTTTGAAAATCAGTTGTGACTGAAAATCCAATTCAAGATCTTTACACTAAAGGGGATGAAGCCACCAGAAGCTTATCGGAATGGGTTGAACCAAGTTAGGTGTTTGCCATATTTCACAATGAAGCCCAAAGTTTGGCATAGAAACATTCTCCTAAGAATCCAGGGGATTGGTTTTGAATTTTTCTCCCCCTTCTTCCCAACAGTTGCTTGCAACAACTAAAAGGGTCATAGAATTTTGGATTTAGATGAGATTCTTTTCGTGAATTATGGGTCTCTTATATAGTATCTTTAGCAAGTGTTTGCCAGCTTCCTCTCTTGCCTTAGTTTTCTCCATCCATGACATGGGCAGGAAAGATAGCTGCTGTAAATGAAAAGCCGTATTCCATTTGAGTTCCTGAGAGGGACAGGTACCTTTGAGAGGCTTGTGATTTGACTGTTGGGCTCATCTTCTGGAGGAATCACTTCCTGGCTCCATTTCCACAGCTGTAGGGTTTGGTGCCCCTCCTATAGAGTCTCATTAAACACTCCACTTAGCATCACACCCTCCCCACAGTGTGGGCATTGTTCTTAGCTGTATCTGCCCTCCTCACAATTTGGCATAACCCAGGGCTGGGCACACGATGCGAATTCACTATACTGCTGACGGATGCTGTGGATGGTTGAGTGAATGATAGTTATATAATCTCGGGGACATATAGAGAACATATGGATCCAGGGCCACAATGGAGATCCTGAGAGGGGCTGGAAAAGTCTGTGGATATAGTCTTTGATGTTCACTGACATAAAATTAGTAGGTTGGCTTAGCCCTGCTCTGTTTAACTTTCTTAAACAAAATAAAGTAGGGCTGGAAGTTGCCATTGAAGTTTATTTTAATAGATGTTTTAATGTGACACGGAAGACGAGTAGACATTTTCCCTTTGGAGATTAGCACTCAGCACTCAGTGTCATTATTTTCTGCCTATCCAAGGAACCAGCTCGTCAGCTGCTGATGCATTAGGTTAATGGCACAGCGCGGGACTAAACAAAGTCAAGTTGCCAAGCTCCTGTCTGGCATTGACTGAGGGTCATAAAAAGCATTCATTCCCTCAGTTGGATCTTGACAACTCCGAGAATATCACCTTGTATATATCAAATGCCGTGTTCTGCTATATAGGATAAAGTCGATGCTCACATTATTCCTGCCAACAGGGAAAGCAGAGCATCAACTTGGGAATTGCTAAATATTTGATGAGCCTCAGAGATGTTGCAAGTGTGATGTGGTTGGACTATGCCACCTTCCTCCTGAGGCATTAATGCCAACTGTACTTCCAAAGAGGCCATAGGATGAATGGATCTGCAATAAGGAAATCTGACCTTAAAGATCATGAAGGTAGGACTTAGAGAAATTGACTAAAATTCAGAAAAATACCGTAGCAACACCCAAGGACCTCTGTGGCTGACTCTTTGATTTTACCACTTTAGTACCATAGCTCTTTCTACGTTGTTTCCCCAGCCCTCCACCCAGTCTGATGCTACAATTTCTTTTTGTTTCCAGTTCCTTCTTTCTGGGGATTGGTGAACTCAGCTTGGAACCTTTGCTCCGTGGGGAAACGGCAGTCGCCAGTCAACATAGAGACCAGCCACATGATCTTCGACCCCTTTCTGACACCGCTTCGCATCAATACCGGGGGCAGGAAGGTAAGCAGCCATGTTGCTTCCATGGTGACGTTGAGGAGGGGTATGGGGTGATGCTGATTCTGAAAGCCAGCCCTCCAAGGCTGGATCTCTGTGATGAGTTTGTCTTCTCACCTAGACCTCAGGCCTACTGCCAGCACATCTAATTATGTCTAAACTGTGTGTTTTTCTCCCTAGCTAGTGAAGCCCTCATGTTTCTAATTACCTTGTAACCTCTGGAGGTTGCCTGAGGTTCTAGCCCTTGGTACCCCATGAAGGTCAGAACACAGAGTTGCCTCCTCTGTATATCATGCTGGGAAAATCCTTTTTCCCAGAAACCTCTTTACTGGAGCTTCTTTTAACCTGAACAAGGTGAAAATAAAATTTTTCACAAGAGTAAAATCAGACGTTTATCATTTTAAAAGGAAAAAAACAAACCAAAAATCACCCTAGATGATTTATAAGAAAATCAATAATTCATCTTCCTCGAAGCATCTTGCTGGCTAAGAATCCTAGCTCCTGCACAGAAATGCTGAGCTGTGCTGTATGCGTCTCACTCCGGCATCCCTCTCCTTCTCCCTCCTCCCCCTATGAATGGCTCCTCCTTAACTTGTGAAAGGGCATGTAGTTATGCCCATGGGGTCTTCTTAGTGCTGGAATCTAGCATTCTTCTTGCTGATGCATTTCTACTCGGCAACCTTTTACTGTTGAGTAGATTGTTGAAGGTGGAAACACACATCCATAGAGAAAATTGTGTTTGAAGGTCATTTAGCTGTTGGGAAGTCAAGAGGAATGGGAGATCATTTGTGAGCAAGACATTGATTGGGCTTACAATTATGGACACCTTTTGTTACTGCGGGCGGCTGGTTCTCCAGGGCTTGGGCTCCTAGGGCTCTACTCTTCTCCATTTATGCAGTGTATGCACCTTACTTACCACAGACTTTGTAAGTAATTTTTTCCCTTATGATATTGGAATTTTTTTTCTAATGCATAACTGTCACTAAAAAAAAAAAAAGAAACACTAATGACTAATCAAAGTGTTGTTAGTATCCTTGACTTCGGTCACAAGGCAAGTTATAACAGACCTTGCATGTGGCTAAGACTATTTAGCCATATAGTATTTGTGTGCTGTTTAAATAAAACTTGGGAAGCATTTCTGTAGCAGGCTTCTATGCAGTTGGCATAGTTTATTGCTCTGGTTTCATAGAAAACTAACCTAGCCTAATTGTTGTTCCATGTTCAGTTTTATTTTTACAAACCCCGAAAGGAACTTGTTGTGGGTTCTATGTACTTCTCTCTCTAAAAAGGGGACTCATTCCAGTCAAGTCATGAGGATGGATAAGGTCACTGACCAGTGTTTAAGAAGGACAAGTTGTCCTGTTAACTAAATCCTCAATTATCTTTCTTTCTTAGAGAGGGTGATGGAGGGAATAGCTGTATTCTAGGCAAAGGGAAAAGCCCAAAGTAGAATGAGGGTTGGTAACTGATGTCCAGAAATTATCTGAAAGATGACCAGAAAGGTGGAAGGACAGAGACCAGAGAGGAGCTAGTGGGGACTTGTGGATGGAGGGGGAAGGCAGAGGCCAGATCCTGAGGCTATGCTAAGGACCTGGGTCTTTTTCCTAAGTGTTATGGCAAGCATTTAAAGTGTTTTTGCATAAAGGGTACATTGAGGGTGGGATGGAAAGATGGAAAGCTCACACAAATAATGGGAATATAATTTTCACTTTTCAATAGACCATCTTAGAGGGAAATGTTGTGAAAGGGAGGGGGGACCTCATTTCAAGACAACTTTCCCCTAAAATTCATTGGGAAAGAAGGGACTGAGAGAGAGCCTGGTGGTAAAAATTACTCTTAGGGCTTTTTTTGGTGTGTTTTGTTGTTGTTGTTGTTGACAAGTGATTTTTAAAAAATTCTCGATTCCGAAAAGCGTACCTGATCCAAGTCAATTTTCAAATGCATTGGAGTTTGGAATTTTGGAAACATTTACTTTTGACGATGTAAATATTTATATCTGGCACGATTTGTGTTGTCAGCTGTTTGAAGAGCTGAGAACTGTCTGATGGGTCCCTTTGCATTTGTGAAAGGTGGAAAAAACACACACAGAAGGTAAGGAGGAGGAAAAAGCTGGTAAATGAAATGCCTAAACCCAATAGACAATAGCGAAAACGTGCTGGCGAGCCGTCTAAAAGGTGGTTTTTAATGAGTTGAAGATTTATTTGGGAAGTGAGAATTCAAAGCCCTGTTCTGAATTTCATTTTGCCGTGAAGAAATGTGTATCCGACTCAAAAGGCTTAAAAACCTTGCGCATTTTGGAGTCTGCGATCAGGTGGGTATCAGCATGTTAAATGCATCCCAGTCATTGTGTTTTACGTCGCATCTTTATGCGTGAGCATTATTCCTGCCCGTGTTTAAATGTTGCTTACTTACAGACCCATGAAGCCGCTCCGCCACGGTCCGTGCCCTGGATTACTGAGTTTGTTTTAACGTGTTTGGCCTGGCATAGGCTCGGGTGATGAGCTGAGGGCTTTTCTTAGCATGAGGGAGGGGCGAAATTCAACCTGAACACAAGAATACAAAGAGTAATAATAGTCACTTGAGCATCAAAACAGGTGTGCCTTGGGTATAATAGAGAATATTCATTTCACTTGAGCAGTGAGATTTCGTTTACCTTATATCCAATGGTAGGTTTTAAGCTTGTGTTTGTATTTTCATCAAGGAAAGTATTTTTTATCCAGTTCCTACCTGATACATAGAACTTTTATAGATAAAATCTTAAGTTCCTTGTTTATATTTCTTTTAAGATCTGGAACTTGGCCTATAGTCTTACGTGCTTTCTTTCCCTCTGTCTTTGCTTAAGAGCTCCTCAAAATAAATGTGCTTTTATATTTTTATTTTATATCCCTGGAGTTATCTATGATCATGCTGGTTGATTTGAGTTGAACCAAGGTTACTCTTGATTACAAGAAAAGGGTTTTGTAGAATTAGTCGAAGTGGCGTTGGCTTAAGTGGGAAAAATATAGGAAAGCCCCATGGTGAGAAAAGTAAGTTCACTGTCAACAGAATCTGCCACTAGAAACCAGGATCCTACACTAGAAACTTTTCCTAAAGCGTGGCTGAAATACTAAGTTGGAAAAAATAAGACCTGTGAATTGGTTTGTGGCTTAAAATTTTACCACTTCTCTATTGTTAAGTTTTCCCATGAACCTGACATCAGAATTTAGTTGACCAAGATAAATCTTTGCAATTCCTAAGTATGTTCTGAAACCTTTTCCGAGTGAGGTTTTATGTTATATTAGGGGAGAAAGCATAGAGACACAAAACTAAATGGCAACAATCCATTTAAATAACTGTTTGAAAGAAGAGTAGAATAGATACTAAGGAAGCAGTGAAATGATTAATTAGAAGATGGATCAATCTGGCATTAATTTTAATGGGGTAAGAAGTTGGGTTGGTTGAACCAGGCTTTACAGAGGTGCTAGAATAGGGGCTACCAAGGAAAAGTAGGTAGAATGAAATTATGTTGGCAGGAGGGCCTTTAAATGTTAGATGTTCTGGCTCTACCTGTGTGTGATGAAAGCAAATAGTAGAGATAGCATTTTTGCCATCTAAATATGTAGCTGTGGTGCTGGTTTTTCTTGGGTAACCGATATGAAATGTTCACAGATATGTATTCTTACCCATTTGGAACTCATTAGGGTCCATTTACACTTAAGCTTTGGGATGGAAATGGTCCATAAAACTTCATGTGTATTTGTGGGACAGAGTAGATCATCAAGAGCCTTTCGGGGTCTGCTGCTCTCCAAGCCCAGGTTTAGAACCTGAGATGGAAAGTCTTGTGCAGATGACTTGCTGAGGAAGTGTGGCCAAAGGTAGGCCTCAAAGTAATGGGGGAAGCAGGCCAGGGGTGCTGTGCAGCAACGATATGGGTTCAAGCAGGGTCCACCTGGAGCCTGACGCCACAGGGATATACCCTCCCTGGCATTCCCAGGCAAGGCACCTCTTATGCTTTGGGATCCTGGAGAAGTCCCTCACACTGGCTTTCAAGAGCCCATTTATGAATCTCTTCCCGAAACTCTGCATTTATTAGGTTGGTAACTTGAAGGTAGGAGTGTTTACACCAGTGAAATCTGTCCATTAGGGCTTTTTTTTTCCCCCCTGCAAAGTTGGTGGATAAGCATTTACCACCACAGTTCTTACAGGCCAAGGGCAGTTCCCACGAGGAGGGTGAGTTGATTGTAGCCAACGCTCCTAGCAGCTGGGAGGCCCGTGGTCCACTAGCCCAGAAGAGGGAGTCCAGGTGGAACCCTCGACAGACCTATTACACCTGGTGTTGAAAAGGAAGTTTCACAAATATTCATATGGACCATGGTTTGGTCTCCTGAGGTGTCATTGGGACTGAACTGACTGTGCCCTATATTCTGCCCTCCGCAAGCCCAGTTTCCACTAACTGGGGAGGGGGGGGAGCACAGAAGTGATTATATGGGACTCAGACTTGCTTTACCATCACCCGAATTCCCCTTAATACATCTCCTTTACATGCTTGCCTCTTGTAAGCCTGAGTTCCTCCTAATCACATATTTGCAAAGGCAAGGTTGGTGGATGGGTACAGAGTATGCCTTGATAGTCACAAATTTTCAACTTCTCCAGTTTAAGTCACCACTAGCCCAGAACCAGGGATGCCCTTGTCCCTTTTCCACCTCCAGCCCCTCCAGCAGCCTCTTGTCAATGATACTGTTTCCAGCAGCACAGCCTACAACACTGTAAACACATACTATCAACATGTTTGAGAATCTGAAGGGAGAAGATAGGGAGGAGCTTTTAGGCTTTTCCAAGTAAGTGATCCTTCTTCAACCCATTGCCTTTTAATGATGCTCTTTGCAGTTTCTGGATCCAAAAGGTAAGAATCAGGGGAGAAAAAAAAATCTAAATAGGAATGAGGAAATAGCCTGTGCCAGGCAGTCTTGAGTCCATGCTATTCAATCAATTCCAAGTATTACTAGCATTTTTCTCAAGAGTATAAT